AGAGAGGCCGGTGAACAGAGCCGGGGAACCTTGCTTCGAACGGCGAGGAGAGGAGAGGAACACAGAAAAAATTTTCGCAGAGGAGGAGATGAGGGCTCAGATACGAGTGGAAGATAGGAGGAGACTAACCTGAAAATGGGTTGTAAATTTCAGAATTCAGTGGGGGTAAAATTGGAAATAAAAAATTTCATTAAACACTCAAAATGAATTCCCGCATAAGCTAAAATCAGAATCAGCCTAAAGGCTGATTCTGCTTTTAGCTTCAGATGGGACGAAATTTTTTAAAAAATCTGTTTTACCAAATAAGATTTGAGCTTTTAGATTCCTAGATAAGAGCTTTTTCTCTCCTAAAAGCAATACCAAACCCACTCAATGTATGTGCTATGCATTTTTTTTTTTGATATTATTATAATGTATGTGCTATGCATTTCATGTATGTGCTATGCATTTCTTTTTTGATATTGTAACTAATTAGGATTATGTTTCACTTTGTTAAATGTATTAATTAGGAACTTGCTTGATTTGACATATGACTATATTTTGGGATTATATATGTAGTTGAATGATATATTGTCATTTTTATTATTAACAGGGGCTAAAGTTATATTTTTCAGGAAACGTATCATGGTAGATACTAAAAGTGATCATATTTGAGCTTGTGATAATTAATTATTACAATTGAAATATGGGTTTTAAACTCAGTACTTTCCTTCAATAGGCTGGTCAAAGACGGAAAAAAAATCCGTTTTCAAGTGATATATTATTATTAGGGGTGTACTTCGGCCAGGGTTCACTCATTTTTTCAACCGAGTTGACATAATCGGTGTGAAAAAACTATTAACCGCAACACCTTGACAGGCCCACAAATCCGCAGAAAAGAGGCATGCTTGGAGTCAGCTCGGCTCGGCCGGGTGTTCTTGGATTGGGCCAACATTGGATCTTCACCGGCGCCTCAAGCTCCTACGGAAACGAAGAGTTACCATTTTGATTGGGTGCTATTATATGGAAACCATATGGTTTTAGGTGATAAATAGCATCTTTAGAACCTTTGCTTGCGTTATTTCTACTTGTTCAGCAAACCTTTGCTGTGGCTATTTAGTGAGATGAAATAGCTCTTTCTTTTTGAAGAGCAAAATTGCCTCTATGATTTCCCAAGTCAGAAATTGAGTTTTTGGTTAAGAAATATGCAATCAGTTCACGTTTACATATGGTTTTGGTTAAGAATTTGTTTGCTAAATCTTCCACATTAATATTGTAAAATGAGATGAGCATTGGTGGTTCTGTGATATATTTTCTTATTGCCTTCATTATGAACCTCACAAGCTGGTGATTTAAATTTGTCTGTTGGTGATATTTAGGAGTGTTTATTTAGTTTCAGATAGCCGGTTTATCTTTTGACGTTATAATGGCTTAATAGTGCTATGGATTTTAGAAAAAGTATTTTTAGCTGTGTTGAAGGTAGAAGTAGCTGTTCTAAGAAGTAGCTGAGTGTTTGGTAAATTAGCTGTGCTGGTTCCAAAATCAGTATAATAGCGTTTGGTAAATTTTGAGGTGGAATTACTGTGGATATGTAAAATGACCAAAATAGACATTATATGAAACTTAAATATATATAATTATTTTTGATATTTAAAAATACTTGTTTAACTTTAAAAACACAGGAGACGTTTGGTTCATAGATTAGAACCATATGATTAGAACTATTTTCGATTTACGTGTATTTTTTGTGAGAGAAAATACTGTAACGAACCACGAACCATGATTCGAATCAGGGGACGACTCCCCTAACCAAACAACCTAATAATGTTATGATTTTGAATTTTTTAACAATAAATTTATGATAATTAATTCTTTTTTTTTTTTTTCATTTCTTCATTCACAATATAATTACAACTAAAAAGAACATTAATGAGTAAGCAACTTGTTGAACAAAAATGTACATTTCATGTTCAAAAAACTGACAGAGTCATTAAAAAAATTAAGTCGTGTTCATTAAACTTGTCGCAATTTGATCTCTTACTTCAACCACTTCTTGTGACAGTGAAGCTTCATCTTCTTCTACATTGTCCTCTAATTGATGCTCTTCATAAACGAAAATATTTAGATTATCCTCGATTTCTTGAAAATATCGATCACGCTTATCATGCATCCTAATATAGTTATGAAGCGCCATTGTTGCAATAACTATTTTTACTTGCTTCTTAAATGACACACACATGATATGCAAAGTTGTGCAAAAAAATGAAAACTTTGTAGAGCTCAAGACGTTATATTTGTAAGTATTTGTACAATCAACTTTTTTATATAGGCACACAAACTAGTTCACTGGCAGCTTCATCAAATGTGATTGGTTGTAAACTTTGGCTAGCTGGCAAAACCGAACAAATTTTGAGATGCCCTGGTGCCGGTCATCACCATTTCAGCAAAGCGGATGTTGTATGCTTGAGTGGTAACTTCTGTTTTTACCCTCAAATATTTTGTAAAGGGAAAATTTCATTTTTGTACCATATATTACATCAAAATTTGAATTTGGTATATCCTGTTTTTAAAAATTTCATGTCGGTACTTCAACTTTTTAAAAAAAAAATTTTGGTACCTTAGAACTATTTTTTGAGACTCAAAAAGATAAAGTTGTCCTTATTATAAAAATTCATATGTTAACAAGAATTTTGAAGGAAAAAAAGAATTTTAAAAATTATTATACCTGTAACCAAACACTCAAAATTTTCAGTGAGTATTGTACATCGAACATCACAAGAATTAGTTGAAAACAATATTCAAAACAACTTTAAGAGGGAAGAGAGGAAGAGCACCGAAAAAAAAAGAAGAAAAACACAAAGGTCAGAATTTTGAAGAAAGAAGCATGTTCTTTTAATGGGTTTTTGAGGTTTCGCTACAGGTATAATAATTTTTTAAATTTTTTTTCTTTTAAAATTCTGGTCAATAAATAAATTTTTACAATAAGGAAAATTTTGTCTTTTTATGTCTCAAAAAATGACTTTTGAGGTATGGAATTTTTTTTTTTAAAGATTGAGGTACTGACATAAAATTTTTAAAAACAGAAGGTATCAAACTTAAATTTTGATATAATAAAAAATATTAAAATGAAATTTTCTCTTTTGTAAATTTTACAAATAGGACAACAACCACACGAGATAACCCAAATCCATTATTTTGGCAGTTTTGTGTAATTCTCTTTAAATAGTGAAATCATCTCCCAGCAAAAAACCCAGTGGACGTGCACGTAAGCTTTCATGGTGAATCAATTTAAATCAATGTGTTCTTTATTCTCTCATTTATTTTTAGATGGCTTGAATCTTGATATAAAATGAGTAGTTGGATACAATTTAAGACATCATAAATAATTTAAATTGATAATCTGTTTGTTTTTAGCATTTTTTATTGCTTTAAAATTGGCGTTTCATTTTGTTTTGGATAAATTATATATTGTATCATTTCATTTAAACATGTTATTATAGCACCGCCGATAATTATCCATATCGAGTGAAGAAAGCTGTTCAGGTCTCACACGGCATGATGGAGAAACGACAAAGAAAAAAAGAAAAAGTCCAATTTGGGGGTAAAAATATATGCATTAAAAAGTAAAATACCACACGCAAGTTTCTGAAAAAAGAAAAAGAAAAAAATAACAAAATACCAATGTCTAGAACGCACAATGTCCTTCCAAAAAGAACACACAAGAATTGGGGTCCGCAAAAAAATCTTTCCTCCTCGGCTACGCAAAAGAGAAACAGTAAAATGCCAATATTAGTTTTTAAAACAAAAATAATATTATTTATACTTAAAAATAAACAAAAATTTAAAAATTTATTTTAGTGGAAGCATTTTATTAAGATATTTTAAAAATAAAAATGATTCTATTCTTACCTTTTTTTACTCTCTACGGCTTCGTTCAGTTCGTGGATTCAAGTTTTTAATTTGAGTTAAGATGTGATTTTATGTAAAAACTTTTCACTGTAGTAAAAAAGTTAAATATGACTTTTTGTGAGAGCTTTTAACTGTAGTAAAACTAAAATTGAAAACTCAAATCGGTAAAATAAACGATACATATATTCTTTCTATTTACACATTTCACATAATTCTTAAATGATTCATTAAATTTACTTTTTACACACTCGTATTATTCTAAAATTAGTCTTAATTTATTTTCAACTTTTGGCTATTTTATTTCTTCGCACCCACAATTTTGTTTTAATTTATCATTTCTCTGTGTCTATATTTCTAAGCTTTAGGAATGAAGTCTTTTTATAGATAAAGAAGATTTATTATTATATTATTTTAGAAAAATAAATGACATAAATAATTTGACAAGTAAAAGTCACTTTACACATGCTTTACTAAGCAAATTAATATGTAAAAATGACTTTAAATTGTCTGGTAATAACCTTATCATCTCTTTCTAAACAATATCACATGTACTCATTACTCCTCGTTTGAATCTCATGGTGCACACATTTTGTTATAGATTTTAAAAATAGAAATAGTTTATTATTTGGGGATATGACATTTGGAATGTGTGGAGAGGGAAACAACCTATCGTTAGTTTCTTTTTTATAATAAACTTAATTATATGAGGAATGTCCTTTTTTGCCATTTTTATGAGGGTTTTTTTTTTGTAAGGTGTGGAGAAAAAAATAGAGTTGTGTAAATTGAATCATCCTAAGAATATACTTTAGTAAAATAACATACCACACATACTAATAAATATCTTTAGTTCTCTAGTCATATTTAAGATGTCATGTATGAGAAATTATAGTAAATAATAAATTTATGAAACTAAATTAACTAAATAGTAGATTTTAAAACTATTTAAAGTAAATAATAATTTACCGTGTAAATATTTTTTTATGACGGATAAAAAATGATTTATATGGTAAAATTCTTTAACTGCGTGGAAAAATCTTTTTACCATTCGAAAAAAATTTATGTGAAAAAAATCATTTTATTTGTAATTAATAAAACCTTATTTTTCTTCTAAAATAACTATTTTTTTCAATAATTAATGGATAAAAGTAGAAATGTAGATCATAAGTTGAAATTGTTCGTTAATTGAAGGATTTGAAAAAGAAAGATACAAGATGGATAGTAAAATTTAGACGGAAAAATAAGAAAATCTATAAAAAAAAATTAAAAATGACAAAAAGAAATAACAAAAATTGAGCGAAAATGAAATAATATAAGAAATTTTAATGAATATTGAAGTTTTATTTATATATATTTTGAAATAAACTACCACTAGTTATAATAGTATATTTTATAGTTAATCGTGATACATTTTGACATTGACAATTTTTTTTTCAAAAAAAAAAAATAATAAGAATAGGACGATTTGAATGCATCATTAATCATTTTTTCAAAAGAGAAATTGCATTTAATTAAAAATTAAAAAACAGTCATTTCGGTATAATATTAATGACCTATTAGAGAGACAGACGCATGCCTGAGACTTGAAAACAAGATAACACTTTAGCACACTAATAATGGACACACATAAAGCTCGAATTGAAGAAACTCCTCCCATTGAGATATGCTTTCTAGACTGGAGGGACAGATCGCCAAACCCCACAAAAAGGGGACATCTACACGACATAAAAAAATTTATAGCCGGACTAAGACAACCGTATCGGGAGACATACAAACAACCTTAAGCCGACTATAAAAAACTAACAACAAACAGCAAAACAAACGAGAGTCGGGTGGGGTGACCACTGCCCTTATTAGAAAGAAGAAAATTACACCAGAAAAACATAAAAAAAAACCTCCGACCACTGCTGTTAGAAGCCTTTGGTGAAGGGCAACTAGCCAATGGGCTGTCGAGAGAAATAGCCGGCCAAGAGATCTCAACCACCAAATGACAAATTTGCCTGAAAATGAAGTCCGTCCGTTCAATTTCTAAACTCCAAACCGATTTAGATCCACCTAAACAAAGCCACCACATTGTACACTGTCACTATCAACTAGAAGCTCACGACTAGGCGAGTCGAAGTATCAAGTTTCATTATTGGGAGCTCGAGGCGTGCCCAGAAGCGACCCCGAAACGTCAGCTGTTGTTCACTTTTTTTTTTTGGTTCGTGTGGGTGAGTGAGAGAGAGTTGAAAACCCTAGACGCTAACAAGTTGGGAGAAAATATGTGCTTTATTAATTATTAACAAGGCAAAAAAAATCACTACGATATTTCCACAAAAGTAATTAAAATGGGGTTTCAAGAAAAAATAGAACTATTTATTCAATGATTTGTTTTATTAGAAGCTTGGAGGGAGTTGGAGTTTGAGCCCCAGACCCCATCCTTATCAACAACCATTCTTCCTTGGTATCTCCGCATCTCCCAAGCGAATCTCTCTCTCTCTCTCTCTCTATATATAACTTATTTAAATAATTAATTAATAATACGTTAAAGCCCAAGATTTTTTCTTGTGGTTTTTTCCTAGCTCCAACATCTCGTCAAATCGTTTTAGCGGGTAAATTGCAAACCCACTTGCCTCCATTTCCTTTGGATGTTCTCAGAATCCTATGATCTTATTTTTTCCATTTTCTTCTCGCGACAATTCCTTACTCTCTGATTTTCTCCGTCGATTCTCTATTTAAACTTTCTTTCTTGTTGTATTTACAGAACATCCGAAGAAGAACAAGGAGGAGAAGAATTTTCTTCAATTTCAGGTCCTTTTCTTCCGTTTTTCTCGTTTGTTTTTCCAATTTTAGGTTGTTTTATTCATCGCCGCCAACAAATTGTCGCAGAAAAAAAAAAAGAAAGAATTTGGAGCGAGAAAAAGGAAAAGAAAATTTCTTTTGCTACATGTTTTTTAGGTGGATTTTTGGGTTATTATCGTTTATGGGCAATAAATTGTCGAATGCAATACTTTGCACATTTTATTTGTCAATCAAACAGGAAAATTATCAGTTCACTTTTGACATTTTTGTGTAATGGTTCTCTTTGAAACAGAAAAATGGGTATTGAGAATAAGAATTGTGAGGATTTGAAAGTTTGTTCTGAAATTGTTGAAAGCAATAGGGCTAAAGGAAAGAGTCTATGGAAGAAAGTGACGTACCAGCTAGTTGAATACCACTCATTGCCCGGGTATTTGAGGGACAATGAGTACATTCTTGGGCATTACCGATCCGAGTGGCCATTAAAGCAGGTCTTTCTCAGCATGTTTAGCATTCACAATGAGACACTCAATGTTTGGACGTAAGGATTCTATCCTCCTTAAGTTTTTGTTTTCTAGCATTTAGCTAATTAAAATTTTATTTTCTTCTCAAAAAGATGAGATTTTTAAGGAAAAGAAAAATGATACATATATCATGCAACTAAAAGGTAACTTGTTAGGTAAAAAAAGCTGAGACAAAACTGAAATTTTGATTTGCATACATTCTTGGCATCCATGATTAAGATTTTCATGTGTATTATTTCTCTAAGGGAACTTGTGGGTTAAGAATTATTGAGTTTATAGGATTTCTTGCTTTGAAGTTGTTGGAACTGAAATCTTACCTATTTTATTTATTTATTTTATGAATAAAAAGTCCAGGGAGGGAGCTATCAACGTTAGCATACCCCTTAGGCCTTACTAAAGGAACTCCCAAGAAGCTAACATGAATGTACGCTGAAGTCCCTACAGGCGGCCCTACCCCTTGGACATTTTGTGTATTTGAAGTAGTCTAATATGGTCTTTTTTTTTTATCGTTTTTTTCTTATTTAATTCTTGAGTTGTGAGTTATTCATATTGTGTTTGTAATGATTATCCAAAGTGTTAGAGTAATTCGTTTTGATTATAGTTCAATGTTTTTTTCCCCCCTCATTTACTTCTTTAGTTATGAGTTATTGATTTTGGAGTTCCAAAGTGTTAAAGAGTGATTCATTTTGATCTTCTGCAGGCATTTAATTGGGTTCTTTCTTTTTCTTTCCCTGACCATATACACCGCAATGAAGGTTCCAAAGGTTGTTGATCTCCACAATCTACAACATGTTCCTGACATGCTGAAGAAGGCTGACCTGCATAAATTGCAAGAATGCCTCCCTTCCTTGCCCCACATGCCTGATTTACACAGACTTAAGGAGTTAAAGACTACTTTTCCTTCGATGGATTTGCTTCCGTCCCTCTCCTCGGGTTGGCATGTGATGGAACTTTTATACAATTGTTTGCCTGAGAGATTCTCCTACAAAAATTACACTGACATCTGTGTTCTGGTACCACACTTCCTCCTCTCAACCTTATAAACTGTTTTAGAAGATTTTTATTTAGCTGCATAGCTTCTATTCTTTATTTCAGCTTTATTTTGTAATCTTTTATAGTTCTCAGTTATGTCCGCTCTTTGGAATACTAGTTGTAACAGAGTTTATGTTTGACCTTTACCCTCAAGACATCTTGATTGGGATTACATCTGTTTCCCAAGTTTCTTGTTGGTGTAAGGGGTCTGAACTTGGGAAAACATAAAAGTTTAACCATTCGCATGCTAACAACCTATTAATTTTTATTGAATGGATTTCCTTGATTTTATTCTGTTGTTGGTATGCACCTTTGCTGGTTGGTTAGTCATTTAGTTGGACGGGAGAGATAATTTAAAGCATTGTAGTGGTATATCTAGAATGTTTGATTGTTTCTCAGAAGTTAGGTGGAGCTAATACCTTCTTTTTGTGTGTTGATCGATACAGCGTAGCTTGAAGGATGATTTTGCAAACATAATAGCACCATTGATGATGAGACCGATTACAAGATGGCCATTTTTCGCGTTCATGGGGGGTGCCATGTTTTGCTTGCTAGCCAGCAGCACGTGTCATCTTCTCTCCTGCCACTCCGAGCGACTGTCCTACATTATGCTAAGGCTCGACTACGCTGGCATTGCAGCCCTCATTTCTACCTCCTTTTACCCGCCAGTCTACTACTCCTTCATGTGCTACCCTTTCCTTTGCAACCTCTACATGGGCTTTATAACCGTCTTGGGCATCGCAGCAATACTTGTTTCTCTCTTGCCGGTCTTTCAAAACCCCGAATTCCGCACGATTCGCGCATCTCTCTTCTTAGGCATGGGATTGTCCGGGGTTGCGCCTATCGTGCACAAACTCTACTTGTTTTGGGGCAGACCTGAAGCTCTCCACACAACAGGCTATGAGCTTTTGATGGGTGCTTTCTATGGGCTTGGAGCGCTGGTTTATGCCACAAGGATTCCGGAGCGATGGAAGCCTGGAAAATTCGACATTGCAGGGCACAGCCACCAATTGTTCCATATACTGGTGGTGGCCGGGGCCTTCGCTCATTATCGTGCAGGTCTAGTTTACCTCAAATGGAGAGACCTAGAAGGTTGTTGAGTTAGTGAATTAGACTTCTCAGTCTTACAAGCTTCAGTGTATGGTTAAGTAAAATAGGTCTTTATGTATATGATGATGCAGAGGGCCTGGGAAAGAACCTGTGTGTCCATTGTCACTCTGCTAAGGTAGGTATCTCACTAGTGGATCTTGGATGTCGTCTTTGGTTAAAAAAAATAATAATAATAATGAAGGAATAATGATCTGGGGTAGTGTTAGTTTGAAATCCAGCTGTATCTTTCTACATGCACTTGTCTATGAACATGATGAATTGAGAATAAGAATTCTTTTGTTGGTTGGATAAGGGTACCTTTTAACGTGCACAGAAAATTTTATGTAATTTTTTTTTTTAAAGGAGAAGAAAAAATGCTTTCATTGAGAGTCGAACTCAAGACCTCCCGCTTACTAAACGGGTGCTCTAACCAACTGAGCTATGAAAGCTTTGCTGAACTTTTAATGGAATATGTATAATAAAACAAATAAGAATTGTGTAGCATGCCACCCACGGTTTAGTCCTGACGGTGGTTAATGGATAATTTTGAAACAAAAATGTGGGGTGAACGCAAACAATTTCAAGGTTGGAAGAGCGAACTCCAATAAAAATACTACCAAACTCAGCTAAATCAAACGCATCAATTTTCCATTTCAAGAAAAAAAAAAAGAGCATCAATGTTGTCAAACCATAAATAAAATGCCACCAATTTATATATCCTTGGCCATCACAATACCCAACAAATCACAAGTCTGCAATTAAATATTTACCTATCAAATCTTACATCTTTGATTTTGGAAAGAAATCCGTCAATTTTCCATTTCAAGAAAAAAAAAAGAAAGAAAAAAGAGCATCAATGTTGTCAAATCATAATGAAAATGCCATCAATTTATATATCCTTGGCCATCACAATACCCAACAAATCACAAGTCTGCAATCAAATATTTACCTACAAAATCTTACATCTTTGATTTTGGAAAGAAATCCGTCAGATTTCGGAACTTCTACCATATTCGGAAGCAATGCGTTCCACCCTACTTGTCTCCTAGAATCCAAAATTGAGGCAAAAAAATAAAAAAATAAAAAAATAAAAAAATGAAGAAAGTACAAACATAGAAAGGAGGAAGTATAGAAATATCTTTTCTTTCCTCATGTTTAGAATTCAGAAAATTTTAGATTGAAAAATTTTAATCTTTCAATTTTTAAACTTTTTTTCGAACTAAAAAAATGTTTTCCTCTTAATTTTTCTTCATCTTACAAATTAAAAAAATTAACCTTTTGTTCCTCGTCTTAGCATTGACAACGACACCAACATTAAGGAGACGTTTGGTAATGGAATTTATACCATGATTTGAATCATAGTTCATGATTTACTATAATGTTTTCTCTCATAAAAAATATACGTAAATAAAAAATGGTTATAATCTCATGATTCTAATCCATAAACCAAACGTCTCTTAAGATGTTGGGATGGACTAGGATGGATGGGAGGGGGAGCACATAGAGGAAAGGGTTCAACAAAAATGAATATAGAGGATTTAATTGCGAACCTTTAAGAATAAGGGTTGTTTCGTCAAAATTAATAGAATAAGAACCAATCTATCACGTATTATAAAGTTTAGGGATCAATATTGCAAATTACTCAAGAAAAAGGGGTGTAAGGAATCTTCAGGCCGCTTAAGAGAAATACCACAACTCCATACGTTGTATTGATTTATACCGCAAGTTCTTGTCGAGAATGCCATGTCTTCATATTAAGATTGCCAAATATAACTCTAATAGCATAATAAAAGGTGATTGTTTGTTTTCCATCATGATACTTTGAGGTATCTCACTGTGATATTGAAAATTTCGGCAACTGCTGATAGCTAGCTAGTATCCTCGTGATACTTTGCAGTTGTTGGTCAAAAATTGTCTGTATCTTAGTGTGATACTATACAGTCTCTGATTGGAGACTACTGATACTAGGATAGAAAAATTCAGACCATCAATAGTCACTAAAATATTCAAAAAGAATAAAAAAAAAAACAGACACCAAAATATTTATATCTCCGTTTAGTTCGCTGATTTGAGTTTTTAATTCGAGTTGATATGTGACTTCATGTGAGTTTTAAGTTAGATGTGACTCTTTTTGAAAATTTTTTACTGTAACAAAATTTAAATTCTAAACTTGAATCGGTGAAATAAACGGAGTTTAATATATGAGTACAAAACACACGCAAAATCACATTCTAAAAACACCAAATAATAATTAAAAAAAAAGTTCATGGAATAATTTTAACTTTTTTCATTTTGTCTCTCTTTTTGCTTTTTCTACCTTTCCCTTTCTACTATTTTTGTACAAATTATTATTATCTCTACATCTTGGGGCATGAACTGCTGCATGATTGAAGGATAATTTTCCCCTTCAAAGCCGATTACTCCGATTCCATGCAATTATCATTAACTTTGTTGGGTCTACCCCTCTTTTCCCAATAGCTAAAGAACTAAACGTGTTTGCACCATTGTCGGCACTCGGCACTTCACCTATTTTGACTAAAGATTATAGAACAAGTTATATATATATTTCACCTATTTTGACTAAAGATTATAGAACAAGTTATATATATATATATATATATCGTAACACAAGGAAGTACTGACTCTCAAGTAGGCAACGCACATCACATCGGGGCCGTTGCCATTTTGCTAAACAGGTTCAATTGCTTTGAACTAAAATGTCCTTCTAAATTAGTTTTAGGCTTGATTCAAATTAATGATTTTACCTTTTGAATAAAAAAAAAATATAAGAATTCTGAATTTACCTTGTTTTCTTTTTTGTTTTTAATGTTTTGAACTAAAAGTTTATGATGCAGGAAGATTCAACTATTAGTAATCGATTTATATTTTCATTGTCGTTTATCTTACTAAATTATCTCTATTTTGTTACTAATTTGTCGTTTGTCTTGGTGGGTATTTTGTTACCGTTTAGTGAGTGAGCTACAAAATTTAACTTATTAGTGTTTAGTATGAGAATTTATACCATAATTTAAATTATAATTCGTGACTCGTTACAGTGTATTTTTTCTTATAAAAAACACATAAATTAAAAATAATTTTAAATTATAATTATAAATCTGTGAACCAAAAGGTTCACTTTTTTCAATAGGTTGGAACCTTCTTGTGGCTAAAGTTTTGAGGATGGACAAAGGAGTCCTAGTAAAGGCCTCCCACGTTTTTACCAAGTGTACAGTAATTATGTGGAGCCCTTTGTTGTTTGGGTGGGACAAACTAACACATCAAAATCTTGCATGCAAGGCCTCCCACGTTTTTACCAAGTGTACAGTAATTATGTGGAGCCCTTTGTCGTTTGGGTGGGACAAACTAACACATCAAAATCTTGCGTGCAGAATCCCTTGGCGTCCACAAACCTCTTTTAGCATCGAAGTCCACACCACATGACCTACTTAAATACGAAAACTGAATAATACACCCCTCATTTACTTGCATTCCACGAGCTCCATCTGCCACTGTCTCCTCCTCCAAATGACCATAGTACCCTCAAGACGCACCAATTTCAATCTTTTACGCCTTTCGCATAGCCACCACCGACAATGGAGCGTAAAAACTGGGAATTAATTTGCGGCACTTGGGCATGACTAAAAAGCAAAAGAAGTAACTGAGAAAAAGAAAAAAACAAAGCATTTTTAACTTCTCTTTTGTGTTGGTTTATCGCCAACACGTGTCACGGTCAAGCGTTACGAAAACTTAGAAAATGCCCGGCCACGTACGCAAATAGAAGTCGGACCCACTTCCTGCCTGACCTTTATGGCGCTTGGCGTATTATAGCAGCAGCACCGTTTATTACAAAGGAGACGACGCTGCTAAAATGAACCAACAAAAGCCATTTCAACTTCACTTGCATTTTCGTTTTTTCTTTTGACTCTTTAGAAACATAAGAGAAGCTTACATACCGCAACAATGGCAGCCAAATTCAATAGTCACCACTAGGGCACTGTCACTCCGAGACAAAACGAAGCCCCATAGTCCCCACTCCACCTATCCTTTCTCTCTCTATATATAGTTACCCCTTAGAGAGAGAAACGCAAGAGAAACTTACATAACGCAACAATGGCCGCCAAATTCAATCGTCACCACTAGGTCACTATCATCCGGGACAACACGAAGCCCCAAAGTCCCTACTCCACCTGTCTTCTCTCCCTCCTTCTCTTTCTTTATCTTTCTCTATATATATACATATAGTTTCCTTAAAATGGTCTCGCCTGACCACTCTGGTCACTACGAATCGTCAAGTCCGATGGCGAAACCCTCTCTCCGGAACAAAGCCTCCCTCTGGATTTCCGACGGCATCCTTTTCCTCGGCGGAGCCTTCATCGCGATTTTACTGATTTGGTCTCTCTGGTCCATCGCAAGCCCTAGTCCCAACCCAACCTCCGATTTTCTTCGCCCGGAGCTTAAACCCAGAGAGAAGGAAGTCATGCCGAGGGTGATAAACTGCGCCGAAGGTGAAGCGCACGGTGCTAATCTGCGCTGCGACTCGCCGGAAAGGACCTTCTACGACTCGCCGGAGCTGAACTACTCGATCGGGTCACCGGTGATGGATTGGGACGAGAAGAGGAGATGTTGGCTGCGGAAGAACCCATCTTTTGCCCCCGGAGCTAGCGAGAGGATTCTGATGCTCACTGGATCACAGCCGTCCGCGTGTAAGAATCCTATTGGTGATCATTTGCTGCTTCGTTTCTTCAAGAATAAAGTTGACTACTCGAGAATCCACGGCTACGATATCTTCTACAACAATGCTTTGCTCCACCCGAATATGGGCTCTTATTGGGCCAAGCTCCCGGTGGTGCGGGCCGCCATGATGGCCCATCCCGAGGCCGAGTGGATCTGGTGGGTCGACTCGGACGCGTTGTTCACGGACATGGAGTTCAAGCTCCCGTTGGAACGGTACAAGGATCACAACCTCGTCGTTCACGGGTGGGCCCACCTGATCAACGAGCAACACAGTTGGACGGGCCTCAACGCCGGGGTGTTTCTGATCAGGAACTGTCAGTGGTCCATGGACTTCATGGAGACGTGGGCCAAGATGGGCCCACAGACGCCAGAGTACGAGAAGTGGGGTTCGATCCTGCGGTCAACGTTCGCAGACAAGGCATTCCCGGAGTCAGACGATCAGACGGGGCTGGCGTACTTGATCTACAAGGAGAAGGAGAAATGGGCGGACAGGATTTACTTGGAGAGCGAGTACTACTTCGAAGGGTATTGGGAAGAGATCGTGAGAACTCTCGATAATATCACGGAGAGGTATTTGGAGATCGAGAAAAAGGACGAGAAATTGAGGAGGAGACACGCAGAGAAGGTGAGCGAGCAATACGGTGCGTTTAGGGAGGAGCACTTGGGTGCAGCAGGGTACGGGTTAGGGAGCTGGAGGCGACCGTTCATCACGCACTTCACGGGGTGCCAACCTTGCAGTGGGAACCACAATCAGATGTATTCTGGGGAGTCTTGCTGGGACGGCATGACAAAGGCGTTGAATTTCGCTGATAATCAGGTACTTCGCACTTATGGTTTTATGCACCCGCATCTACTGGATCCCTCCGTCAATGCGGTGCCGTTTGATCATCCTGCTTAGGAGGAAATAAATAATATAGGAGGTAGGAAGATAATATATGAAAGTAGTACTAGCATTTTTGTATGATCTATTAGATGTTGAGGTCGTCTTTTTTTTTTTTTTTTTTTTTGCGAGTTTGAACGTTAAAGAATAAAATATTAGGTCTTCGAGATTGTATATTATTTTATTCTTTTTACTTTATCGATGACTTTTGCTTTAAAGATTTCATCTGATTTAGAATTGTTCAAAAAACATTTAAATTTTAAAAATAAAAAATCAAAATGATGAATTATAATTTTAAAACTTATAAACTAAATGCCACCTAAAGTGTTGGGATGAGTATCTGCGCTTTTTTATTCCGGAATCCAAGTCGCAATTACTTTCTCTCCCACGATCTGCAAAAGGAGAAACTTGTGGAGAAGCTTTGGTAAAACCGTCACGGAAGTAGAGAAATTGTCGAGTTGGCGGCAATTGTGCCTGCCCAAATTCACACCCACAGTGGCGATGGTGAAGTGCAGAACACTAGCGGCGGCGTTAGTCTCAATTCGAGCTTGGTTGTTCCAACATAAGGGTGACAATTCGTGTTACGTATAGTGTTCGTGTTTGTGTTGTGTTTTGATCATTTTTTTTTAAATTTACAGTCAACCCGAACACGACTCGTGACATGAAATTTTTTAAAAATCACAATACGAATACGACACGACACAACAACTTTACGGGTTGACACGACACGACACGAAAATGACCCGTGGCACGAATTTGACCCGTAAACTCGAAATTGACACGAAAATTATATACTTTTATTTAGTTTTTTTTTACATATTATAAATAACTTAAAATTCATAATACACTAAAATACAATAATATCCATTAAAATTAAGCAAATATTAGTATAAGATTTTGAGTATAACTATCGTGATATCACAAGTTCATAATAAAATAAAAAATATGTAATGAAAAAAAATATGTATTTTTTAGTTTTTTACGAGTTTCGTGTCGTATTCGGGTTAGGCAGGTCTAACCCGAAATTGATATGTGTTTTTCGTGTCAATTTTAAGTCTATCCAATTCTGATTCGAACTTCTTTTTTCTTAACCCTAACCTGTTAAATTCTTATCGTTTTCGAGTCGTATTGTCGTATCGTGACTCATATTACCGACCCTAAACCAATCTCATCGTATATATACATGTATATATATATATATATCTCTTTTCTTCAAACTATTTTCCTCATATTTTTGTCCTTTTGAAGTTTATACGGCTTGATTTGTGAGTATTGAGCCATGAATTCCATTACTCATTACATTTTCATTACGTAGCGAAATTGACGATTCCATTTTATTCTTTTCGATATTAAGGTTATATTTTTCCTTTACACGTATTTAACTTTTTCTTTTTGAATGACGCATAATATGAAGGATATTTTCTGAGCTGAAAATATGATTAGGCTAAAGTCTTTACGTTTAATTTAATTGTCGTTTCTTTTATTATTCTGTCATTTGTCATAATTGCTATTTTATTATCATTTTATATGTGAGTTATAAATAGCCACATTATTAATTATAATGAAAAACTTTAAATATTTTAATAATTAAATTAGAGATGAGTTTACTCTCTAATTTTAAAGTTTTTCCTTATTTTTAGGTAGATTTGAAAATTTTCGTATGAATTAGGTCCATAAAATCCCGTTTTTTTCTATTCTTCTGCGTCATGAAAAGGTAATTGCCCTTTGATGAGTGCCACTACCAACACTTGTTGACTTAATTCTTGACTGAAGTATTGCTCTTCAACGGCATATCAACGGCATCTTGAATAATTTTATGGCATTTTATCATGTTGCAAGGGCCAAAGATTGTAGTGAGATAATGATGCAAAAGTTGAGCCAATTATTCCCCTAAAAAATTGTAACAACATTGTAATAAAATTGCAACAACATTGTAATTAATATAAGACGTAATCAAACTTCTTTAACGTAATTTGGAATCAGATTTAAGATTTTACCTCGTGCACTATATATTTAGATCATTATTTCAAAAAAAATCTTAAGAGGCGTTTCTTACCTGTGGGTGCACCGTGCACCCAACTGATAATCTACCCTCAAATTCAAATTCAAGTATGCTCCCCATCAGACATTATGCTGACCTCTAAAATTTGCATTTGATGCTTTTGGCAGGTTTTGTTTTATTCAAATGTGTCGCTCAGACATAGCTTTTAATCATTATAAATTTATAATTAATTATCATTTAGACCAAACGGTTGCATTCTTTGAAACAGCGAAAAGTTGACACTTGACACTACTGTCCACTTCTTCAGGTAGATGAATAATGTGCTAACCCCGTATGCGGGCCGATAATTTAAGAATCGAAAAACACCATTTTTTTGGCACATATGATATTATTACGTGATTAATAAGAGCACTAATGTGTTTGCTAATAATTATTTGCTACGATCTTTTCTTTAATTTGCTATCTGATATCGAAATCTCTGTATGTTGCAGTTATGGTTCATAATCATACAAGTTATGGTTCATAACCATACAAGTTATGGACGAAAACAATAATTTGATCTATTTATTAACTTATGTAAACTATTGACCTATTAATTTTAATTCATCTCAAGTCTTAAGAATTGTTCTTTTAAAGTGTAACTTGAGTGTAGTTTTTGAGTTGAATTTGAGTTATAACTTGAGTTGAAGTTGTAACTTAAATAAAGTTGAGTAAAGTTGAATAAATTTAAAACTTAAAAAAACGTAAACTTGAATAAAATTGAAACTTAAATTATTTTTTTTTAAATTTTTTAAACAAAATAACATACTCTTAATCTATTTCCCTCTTTCTTCCTTTATTTTATTATGCAACAAACAAACAGTAAGAAGACGTATAAATTTAATATCACGTGAGAAGATTGTTTTTATATGGGCTACATATACTAGATTCTTAGATAGGTATATACTGTATATTTCAAGTGCAAAAATTAAAAAATATAAATAAAAAAATGCCAACCCAGTTTATTCGATACTCAGGGACATGACAAGATAATTTTGTTTTTACGAAAAACAGATAAAAATGATAAACAAAAGCTTCTATGCAGGCTTACAATTACAAGATAACACTTTAGATTTTATTTTCGAATATTTATATCAGATTGGATTACTGAATTAGAAGACCCTACTGATTGATCTATTATTTCTAAATCATCTTTAGACCAATTTTCTCTTTCCCCTGCCAGGTTTTGCAGTGCTTAATATTTGTTTTTGACCGCCTTTGTTTATTCGCGGTCAAAAGAATATCCGTCAAATTGTTGATACGGTAAGACCATTCTCAATAAAAATGTTAATATTAATTATATATTTAATATTAAAAAGTATAACATAGTTGCATAATACTATTTAAAATGTTAAATTTATTTTTTTTCATAATCATTAAGTTTTAAAAATTATAAAAGTAAAATTTTATTTTTAAAATAATTAAAAAATATAAAAATTACAATAATTACATGAAAAAGTAAACATTTTAACTAATAATAATTAAATACTAATTTTTTCATATACTATACTTAATGTGAAATTTATCACAATATACATATAAAAAATTTAACACAATAAATAACATTATATTAAAAATTATTTTTTACACTCAAAAATTTATAATTGACACATTAACGTTACATTAGAGATACTTAGAGCCCGTTCACTTTATTGATTCGAGTTTGTAATTCGAGTTGAGATGTGATTTTGTGTGAGAACTTTTTACTGTAGCAAAAAAGTTAGATGTGACTGTTTCTGAGAGCTTTTTACTGTAACAAAACTCGAATTCTAAATTCGAATCGGCGAAATGAACGGGGCCTAAATCTCTTGACGCTCCTTCGGTCCAGTGCTTTTTTATGGAGACAGGAATGTAAAATGACGAGGTTGGACAATATAATGACAAGGTTTAGGTTCTTCCAGCAGAATATAGATGTGTTTTTTCTATTTCTTTTTAATTTTTGAGAAAATTATTTGACATGCCTCATTTTATATGTTTTTGGATTTCTTTCATGATATATATATATATATATTTTTTTTTTTTTTGTGTTGAGATTTATATCGGTAACCATGGATTCCTCAGATGGTCTAGTTATAGCCCGGAAAGAATAAGGTATAGGTAACCATGGATCATCAAAAACCTTTACCTGTGTACCATCCCCAATCCGCCACTTTATTCCTAATTGAAGAAGCTCCCTACCCCAAATAATGCTCCTCCAAAGATAAGGTGTTGTGACCCACTTGCGCCGATAAAAACTCCGTATTAAGAAAATATTTATATCCTGTTTACTTTGTCAATTCGAATTTAGAATTTAAATTTTGCTACAGTAAAAAATTCTCAAAAATACTCACATTTAACTTTTTTGCTACAGTCAAAAACTCTCATATAAAATCACATCTCAACTCGAATTATAAACTCAAATCAGCGAAGTGAACGGGCCCTTAGCTTTCAAAACTTGACGCATTAACAATTGAGGAGTAGTAATAAGCCGCCCCTTACAAAATTAGTAATGAAAATTTAAAAGGCCCCACACAATACAGGGAATGAGAAAAGGCAATACCAATCCTTATACCCCCTTTAGTATTGATTCCTTGTTAAAAGGAAATTAATGCTAAATTTACTTATCTACCTTTAATAAATTACTATACAATCAATGATTATTTAATTATGTAAAAGGACATTTTAGTGATTACATTCATAAATTGCTATTCCTAATTTTAGTAAATATAAGAAAATATATGAGGCTGTTTCCCACTATACCATCTAATAGTCAAGTAAACACATTTCCAATCCCATTACATTTTTTATTACATTCCTTTACGGTTTAATAAACGCGCCTTTAGTTTTGACAAGTTGCCCAATCAATTTGTAAAATTGTTGCAATATGTCCATTTTTGACGATAATTGTGTTAAATTATAAAAAAAAAAAAAACACGTTCACAAAAAATTCTAACATCTCAATTCAAATGCAACACAAATCTTTTAATTACTCAACTTTTAATCCCCTAAATTTAATTAAAAATTTGAACAAATTTAATAAAATGAGACACATTACAACAATATTTCGAGTTTGTAAGATTTGAGTGTTAAAATTGAAAGTTTTAGAGGCAATTTGCTAAACGACGACAATTTTGGAGAACAATTATGCTAAGAAAACCTTATAATAAAAGAAGTGTAACAAGTAATAACTAAAATTTAAAATTTAAATTGTACGGTTTAGACTAGAAAGCGCTTTGAAAGCCTATTAAATGAAGATACACAGGCGTCAACAACTGAATCCTGCTTTCTTTAGATTGGCATCTAGACCCTTCCATCGACAGACAAATAATTTGACCCTATAAAGCGCAAAACTAACGAATTTAGTAGCACAACCCCAGTTGCAGAGCGTTACAAATGTTGCTCTCACTATAAAGCAAAGAGGTATATTTTTGGACCGAAATCAGCTACAATATCACTTCCTCATCAAACACAAAAGGGCAGTTAAGTCATTTTGTAAACACACAAAGAGCAATACTCACTCCAAAGTGAAAAAGTGATTGCGATTACCTTAGAAGAAACAAGGGAGCCCAATAGAACTTCATACTGGATCTTCCAAAGGAACAATTTACTGCAGCTTAACTTTGCAAAAAGACTGCAAGTCTTCCCTAAAACACAGAAAACTACAAAGCGATGTAACTCAAACTCATAAATTAAAAAAAAAAAAAAAAAAAGTACAATACACCGAATATACCCTCTGATGGCACATTAAGAAAGGATACAAGAATGGCCACAAGCGACATTAAGTCAAAAGGAACTCTCAAGACTGCATGGCAGTGGCATCATCTTCATTGCCATCTTCGCTGAACATGTACTGACTCTGATACTCCATCAAATATTGCGTTGATCTCTTCACATCCAAAAAGAGATGGTAAACTCGGTTAATGTCCTCCATTTCCACAACCTTCCCCTTTCGCCTCTGACATGCTAATGCGCCGGCTGTAATTAGATTGATGGCATATCTCAAGGATGTGTCTACTCCAATCTTGGTCAACAAACTTTTTGCCTCTTCGGACATCTCCACTTCCTCCTCTTGGCACCTTATGTCCAGAATCTGGCGAATTTCGTCCTCCGTATAAGGTTGAGTGGAGATGATGAGCAGGCGATCAAGGAGATCTATCGGGATGCCGTGTGGGGATTTGTAAGTTGTGCCTCGGATTGTAGTGATTCCTCTGTTGGTGGCAACAACTAAGATAGGAGCCATCTCATTCTCCAATGCGCGGTTCAAATATGAAAAGCATTCAATGTCAAGCATATGCACCTCGTCAATAAACAGGACGCCCGGCACAATCTCTGCTTTTCCTTCCTCCCTCCACTCAGCTACCTTCGTGTCTATCTGTTCCCTCACTTCTGCACGGATTTCACCAGTGTCGCCAGTAAAGAGGGCAAGAAATCCCTGGGTTCTGAAATTAAGAGATGATAATAGTGAGAGAACAAAGGCAATGAGAAGTCTAGATATAAAATACATGGGAAGAAAGGAGCCCTAACAGAAGCTAGGTTTATACAAATTATTATAGAAGGATACGGAGAATTCGTAGAAATGTACGAGTAATTATATAGAGGAAAAAATTCTTCTTTTTTCCCCATCTATTTCAGCACAGAAGCTTCAACTAGCAGATTTCACTTCGAAAAACGTATTTTGCTTCACTCCATCATGTTAAAAGCATTGAACCGCATGTATAGGCAGCAAATTATATTTGATCTTGGACACATTTGTGGAATTGTATTTTCCCTGAAGTTGTTTCGTCTTATATTATATACAGGTATTAGAAATAATATCACAATTATTATGCAATTTGAAAGCACAGGATCTACAAAGGAACGAAATTCATCAATCTAACCAGTATTTGTAGAGTTATTAAGCGAATATAGTGCTGAAATGACGATCAACAGGGACAAAAATTACTCGGCTTAACAGTAGACAAATTAGTTAATGCGAAAAGTTTAAAAATCAGAAAAACCCACAGAATATATTATATGCTATTCTACAATGTCATTTATCCACAGAAATAAGGTAGCTAACCATGAACATATAAATAGAACATCCTACGTAGCAGCTCCCAAAGTAGGTTTACTTCAAAACTAATACCCTACAAGGTCTCAAGGTTTAAATGGTCCAAGACGTTTCACACACAAACTTAGCTTCAGCCATAAAGCCACTAGTATAAACTCAAATTTCAATCACTTAAAGCCACCATAAATCACACATACAACAACCAAAGAAACTATAAATGGAAAAAAAAAAGAAAAAAAAAAGAAAAAAAAAAGAGTACTGGGTTCTCGCATAAACAAAGATTTTCAGTGAAAAATAAGGGTACTAGAGATTGATAACCACTGTGCACATAAAGCTCAACATCCTAAGTAGCAGCTTCAAAGACAAACATCCTAACAGGCTCCGGAATTTAAACGTGTTGAAGCAGAAGACTCTACTAGAGCTAAAAAATATTTAGCCGTAATATCTGTAATTTGTTAGTAATCAGTTAGTAATCTATCATCGTAAATACCAAGGATTAAGGGGAGCTAGTTTACTAGACCACTGACATATTTCCGTATTAATGTACTATTAATCTAACATATGAATAGATGCTTAATGAACATAGAATTCATTCGAGCTTTCATTCTCCAGAAACGTCCTCTCAAATTCTCTCAAAACTGCCATTGAGTTCTTCAGATTTTCTCTTCCAATTTCTTACATTTTCTCAGATTCCAAACTTCAAGTAAATGGATTAAGATGTTTCACACAAAACATTAGCTTAAGGCACCTTATAAAGCCATATAAACTCAAATATCAATCAGTAGCCACTAGCCACTGAGATAATACTTTCCACCACAAAAATTATCAATGAGAAGTTAGTAATTCCAACATCCTAACTAGCAGCTCTCAATCTCAGATTCGCCACACAAACATTAATATCGTATGATTTCTCATTCAAAACCTTAACTTTAGCACTTCAGTAGCAAAAAGAGCAACAAAAATAATTCAGACGATCTGATTATAAAAATAAAATTAACTTAAAAACAAAGGAAATACCTGCTATTGATAACATCAATCTCATGAAGCGTGACGCAGTGGACGACCTCCTTACGCTTCTGCAACTCCCCGTCGGGGCACTGCACGAACTTCGTCTGCGGTCCCATGGCGTCGTAGTCCCTCGACCTCGAGAACGACCTCCCAAGCTTCGTGATCTTTCCAGAAACTTTATCGATCGCGATCACGTCTCCGCTCTGCACCTTCTCCTTCACCAAGGCCTCGATCATCTTCGCCCCCAAATCGTACACCGTCTCCATCTCCGTCGTCTTCAAGGTCAGCTTTCCGGTCTTCGACGCCGCTCCGGCCACCGCCGGACGGTCAATTTGGACCTCGACGACCTCGCCCTCAATAACCTCCGTCTCCTCCTTGATTCTCACTCCAATGGCCTTGCGAAACGCCTGCATTAGGGCTTCGGTCTTCGACATCTCAAGGGAGAAGAGCTCGCTGCCGGCGATCATGGCGAACGGGGTTTCCAAGCCGAGGGATTTCGCCATGCCCATGGCGATAGCGGTTTTGCCGGTACCGGGCTGGCCGGCGAGGAGGACGGCGCGGCCGGCGATCTTGCCTTCCTTGATCATCTGGAGGATAACGCCGGCGGCCTTGCGAGCCGCCGCCTGGCCGACCATGCCCTCGGAGACGGCGCGGGGTTCGAGGGCGGAGTCGAGGCCGAGGCCGCGGATGTGAGAGTGGGCGCCTATGCGCTCTATTTTAGTCAGGTCTCGGCTCTCCGAGAGTTTTAGCTCCGCCATGGCCGTCGTCAAAGTTGTGTAACTTGTGAGAGAGTTCTGGAGGGGGTTAGGGTTCAAGGGTTTTAGAGAGGGACGGGAATATGAGTGTTGAACAGTGAATACTCTTTTTTATTACTATTTATTTTTTTGTTTCCTCAGTTTACAGAAACTGAAGGCAAAAATCCCTAATTTCAGATTTCAAAAAAAGAAAAAATTCCCTAGTTTCAGGTTGTAGGTCAAATCAAATATGAAAATATTGGTGAAAACATCATGGAAATTTAAATTTGCTTCAAAGCATATTTTTGATATTTTATTTAAGATAGAATCAAATCTAACTATTATAAACTTCTCAAAAAAAAAAAAAATCTAACTATTGTAAAAGCATCAATACCTTCTCCTTGTGGCGTTGATCTTGAGTTATTTTAAATTTATTCTCTATTGATTGTTATTTCACATTTTCTACCTTTTTTCACATATATTTTCAAATCTGATTCGTTAAATGATTTTTATCTTCTCTAATTTCTCAATTAATATTTTTTTTACAAATATGTCCTTACTTAATTAGTTTTCTTACAATTCATTAAATCTCATATGTACACTCTAATTAATTTTCTATTTGATTTGTTTTAAAATACGTTTTATATTTTAAAAAACACTATTACTAAAATAATTGTGTTTAAATATGAACTTACCTAAATATCTTTTTCTTTTCCACCCGTACACCCTAATTTGTTTTCTATTTAAATTGTCCAAATCAAAATATTCCTTAGCATGTTTAATTTTATATTTATGAAAATATAACATCCAACTAAAACATATATTGTGATTGAAACAAACATTTTAATAGATTTATGTTTAAAATCTATTTTTTAAATGCACTTCATTTAAATTATACATCTATTCAATTGTTTTTAATTGTTTCTACCACTATGTGTTTGAAATCAAAATACAATTTAATAATAGACTGCTCAAGCAACACACACGACAACACAAGCAGAGCACGTCCTCAAAATTAATAAACATTAAAAGGATATATAAATAAACAAATTTTACAAGAAAAACCTTTTGTATATGAAATTGATTTTATTTACCTAATATCAACATGATTGGGATTCCATCCTAATTCAAGTAATATTGGTGCAAGTTATATATTATTTTGAGTATTGTTAAAAGATAGTTGTATACATGTTATGTATAGATTTGTAGATCTATTCACATTCTATTTCTTCAAAAAAAATATTTGCATTATATTTTGATGAATGGAAAACCGTGTGTTCTGGCTCTGTTCATTTCACTAATTCGAGTTTTGAATTTGAATTTTTCTACAGTAAAAAGCTCTTACAAATAATCACATCTAACTTTTTTATTACAGTAAAAAGCTCTCACATAAAATCACATCTCAACTTGAATTAAAAACTCGAATCAGTGAACTAAACGGACCCTCAATTATTTGCTTGAGATGGTGATTGTGTGCTTGAATGGTTTAAAAGCAAGGTAAATACGTTTTGAATTATCAACCATATAGGGCAAACATGGGTTTTTTTTTTTTTTTTTTTTTTTTTTTTTTTTTTTTTTTTTTTGAAGGTGACAAACATGGTATCTTAACTAACATTGGGAGAGTATTTGTATAGATTTTCTGTAGTAATAACACAATAACACGTTGAATGTTTTTTTTTTTTTTTTTGTTGTCTCGTTTTTAGGGTTTTTCTTTGTCTTTAAAGTTAATAACAAACATGTATAATGTTTTTAGTGTTACAAAATAAGTACTTTATTGCCGTGGATGTTCACCTTCTCAACAGCTTTTATAAATTCTATTATCTCTACTATTAGTGATTGGTATTTCATAATCTTCATAACCTCTCAATTAACATTCCATAAAAAGGCATTGAATTGGTGTGGCCTTTCTCTTTTCTCACTTTAGGATTCTTTGTCTATATATATAACTATTGAAACTTTATATTTGTATAACAAGAGTTGATATATGTTGTTTCTTTTTTCTATCTCGTTAGTTGTCCCGTCATTATTTGTTTATCATGTTATCTCAATTTAACAATCTGATTACATAAATATGGACTAAATACCGAAAATACTTAAAATAAATTATGAGGTGTAAAAAATTTAATTAAAAAAGCAACTAACGGGATAAGAAAATAGGACGAAAGATCTTTACTGTTCACAATTTAGCTATTTTGCATTTGTTTTATAACATTTAACAAAAAAAAAAAAAAAAAAGAGATAAAAAGATTCGCTGTCGTTTTTCTTTTGTTTTGTTTTTGTTTTTTTGTTTTTGTTTTTGTTTTGTTTTAAGGTGCAAACCATAAGATAAATCACAACATGAATCAACCAAAAGATATATACTAGAATTATCAATAGATTAGTAGCGAAACAAAACCACCTTCTATGTTAGTTTTAATGGTAAATGCCAATAAATAGTTTAGGAATAAATTCCATACAATAGTTGCTTATTTCAGAGTTGGTGTCAAAGTAGTTCTTGAGAGATTTATCTTTTGAACATTGCAAAGCACTCCTTGGGCCGGTATTTGGGAACTGTATGTCCACCACCCTACAATAACACAAAAAATTCAATATATGTACACACTTATAAACAATTACAAACACATACATACATACATATATATATATTGCATATATATCCATATATGTGTATTTTATCTTAATTTTTTAATTTTTATAAATTCCCACTCTGCGAAGGTTCTTGTGAAACAATATTATGTCTTTGATTATTAAAACCAATTTTTAACGTAGGGAAAAAGAAATTCTTGCCTTGACGTGGCACGTATCTGCATATAGACAAAAATCCAATGATAATTATGTAACACATATAAACAGATGCAAAATATTATTCTCTCTCCCTTTCTCTTCTTTTGGGGTTATTTACCTTTTATGCCAAGTATTTTAGATTCATTCAAAAAAATATATATCTTTAATTTTTAATCTTATTAATGTACAACTTCAAATTACATTGAATATACAAATTCACGTCTTTTATCAAATTAAGAGTAAATTTTGACCTAAAAAATGCACAACATACTTTAAAAAGTTAAAAAAAAAGTTGTAAAAAAAAAATCTAAATGCAGAACCTACATGAGTTATTCTATAGACAAAAATAATTAAGACGAAACTCAAATATCAATCAGTGGCCACTATGATGAAACTTACAACCAACAAAATTATCAATGAAAATTTAGCATAGCGAATCACCTTTTTGAGACCATTGCAGTTCATAGAACCATTCTAATTAGGCGTGTCCATGTTTACAATCTTTTGCACCATCCTTTTCATCAATGGATTTCACGCTTTGATCTTGGTCGAAGTTTTCTTCTCTTGGCGCTAACGAATTTTTCCTTGCCAGCTTCTTCACTAACCTCCGTATCTTTACTTTGCTCTGATTTTTAGCACAAGTAGGTGGCTCTCCGGAGCTTAACACAGGTTCATCTGATAGAATTTCTGAAAAAGTTATAAAGAAAAGTCTTATTTTCTAAAGAAGGAGAATTGAGTGATAGGATATGAAATGGGTCAGTTTGACATTATGCTGTTGAAAATTTTTATTATTGTTATGTTGTTAGTAATAAGTTATTGTGATCAGAAGCATATAAGGGTTTAGTAAATATTGTTACAAAACTATTTTGAATAACATACTGTGTATAAAATTACTGTAGAGATGTATAATGATAAAAGTAGACATACTTTAGCACATATTTATAGTTAGTTTTATTTCTATTTTATAGTCAATATTTAAAATAAAAAAATATGATCTTAATTTATTAATTAAAATATTTCTTAAAAATAAATTATTTTTATTGATTGGGAAAAATTATTCATCTACTAAATTTCTTATTATTTGTTAATATTTAAATATTTTGATAATTACTAAAAATATTTGAATAAATTTTGCATAGTATACTTGTTAAAGATTTTCAATTGTAAATAACTATTTTAAAAATATATGTTTTTTTTTAATTTAATATGAAAAAAGTAAAGTAGGTATATTGAGAATTAAGTTTAATTATTAAGGTAATTTTTGTAAATTTGGATAATGGCAATAAAAGCTGCTATGTAAAAGTAATTCTTGACATACTTTTTACATTATGTTATTTGACAGTAGTTTTTAGAAGTTGCTGGATAAAAGCAAGATTTACCAAATACTTAACATGTTGTAGTTTCTTTAAAAAAGCGAAAAGTAACCTCTAAAAGTATTACCAAATGAGCCCTAATCGGAATCAAGTATTGAGAAAAATATTTACCAATTCATTGGAAAAAAATGTTTTAATATATTTTTTTTCCCTCAACATAATCATTCTACCATGTGCGATAGGGTATGAGAAAACACCTAGAAAATAAGACACAACTTTGAACCGTCAATCACAGGGCAATCATGTATTATAAGAAAAATATTGATCAATTTATCGAAAAATCTTAATTTTTTTTTTCTAAGCATAAACACAGTTGAGAAACTGTTCAAATCCAATTACCGGGATGGTCAATTATAGAAGGAGGTTTCTCAGCGGCATTACGTCGAACAGTTGGAGATCCATTTTCAAGTGCAAGATTACCATCGTCATCTGCAGGAGCTGGTAAAAGTGGCCCAATAATCTTCCCACGACGAGAAGCGTCCGTCTTGAGCTTCTTCCTCCGAAGTCTCTTCCGCTGAGCCCTCGTAAGCTTCCGAGACTCGCTTTCACCGTCGTCGCCCGAGGTTGAAGAACTGCTCTCCTCAAAACTATCTGCATTCATTCCTCGTAAAAAAAACGTTGAAATATTAATGACTCAAAATGACTAGAAATAAAAAAAAAGGGGAAATTTTCTGTAGTTTAGACCTGAAACGAGATCCGAATCAAAATCTTGATCGAAATTGTTCACCGCCAAGTCCGCGGCTCTTGCCTGTACGAGTTCATTCGTATGAAATCAAAATTCCGCAGAATTATACGCATCACAGAATGAGAGGGAGAGAGAGAGAGAGGTACTTGTGGAGGAGGCGGAGGATATAGCATGTTGATGACGGCCTCATTGAACTTGCGTCTCTTCTCTTGCCGCCGGGACATTAGTATTAATGGTTTTGATTCTTTAATGGCCGGAGGATTATATATTATTGTCTTAGCCCTAGTGTCGGTTTAAATTTCATGGAAAAAGAGTTTTCAAGCTTTGGATTGTTGTTCCACGTGACACATGATTTTTTTTTTTTTTTTTTCACCCTTCCTTTCCTTGGTTAGTTACTGGACAGATTCTCCAACTTAAGTGGACTACATATCTACGCAAGGGCATTTTACACATTTACCTTTAAAATTATTTGATTTTGATAATTTGTCTCTTGAGCTTTTAATTTTAATAAATGGTATGCTTTATTAGTAAACTTATTGCAATATGCCTAATTTTAATAAAGATTATGTTAAATTAGTGTCGAAAAAGCACGTTTGATGAAAAATTCTAACATCTCAGTTTAAATGTAACACAAATATTTTAATTTCACAGCTTTTATTCCCTTTAATCTAATAAAAAATTGAGAAAATTTATTAAAATAAGATACATTTCAACAAGTTTACAAGTTTGAGTTGATTGTCAAATTATAAGTTTTAGAGGAAATTTGCTAAACCACGATAAATTCGAGAACAATTATGCTACCTTTAAATAATTATCTTGAAATTATTTTCCTGCACATACCACCTTATATGCATAATTACGGTTCAATACCAATCTTAGATTTTTTTGTTTGCTTATGAAAGTTTTATGATCTACCCTTTGAAGTAATTAGGACAATTGAATCATATAAAATAAACTATTAAAAAATTCCTTATTGATGATAATGTTAATAAAGCACAAAATTTATTTGCTTGAGGCATCAATCCTAACATTAAATATTCCTGATACAATACGATTCAATATAAAAGTTGTGCTCATTATTGAATTAGTCAAAGTGGCTGTTGAGAGATCCATCTTTTGAACATAGCAAAACATTCCTTAGGCCGGTACTCTGGGGCTGTATGTCCAGCACCCTACAAAATCCGCACAAAACTTATTTTAATAAAATACATCATGTACATGTGTAAGTGTATATAGGGCCCGTTAACTTCGCTGATTCGAGTTTGTAATTCGAGTTGAGATGTGATTTTGTGTGAGAGCTTTTTACTGTAGCAAAAAAGTTAAATGTGACTGTTTCTGAGAGCTTTTTACTGTAACAAAACTCGAATTCTAAACTCGAATCGACGAAATGAACGGGGCCATAATCTTTCATTTTTTAATTAATTCTTATTTCTTATATATATATATATATAAAAAGATTATATCCTAGCTTATTGAACCAATATTTATTGTAGGAGAAAAAGAATTCTTTCCTTAATAGTGGCGAAATCAATGCCTTTTGAATATTCAGTCACGTATCTGCATACAAACAAACAAGGGAAATAGTATAAAATAGGTATATAGGCCAATTTTTAGTTATAAAAATTAATATGCCATAATTTGTTAAGTTATGGTTCATAACCAGATAAGTTATGGACAAACTTTTCAAGTTATGGTTCATAGCCAGACAAGTTATAGACAATTATGGATAATAACTTGTCAAGTTATGGTACATAACTAGACAAGTTATGGACGAAAACAGTAATTTGGCCTATTTATTAATTTATGTAAACTATTAACCTATTAATTTTAATTTATCTCAAGTCTTAGCCTATTTTTCTCTTTCTCCCGACAAACAAACATCACGATTGTCAATTATGTGGTACATGAATAGATGCAGAATATAACTCTAAGGTGGAGTAAAAGAAGTCAACTGTTAGCTTACCCTGCAATTTGGTCATCAACCATCCATGGCCTCCACTGACTAACAATGGGAATATTAAGAGACTTGATCCACGCTTGGGTTCCAATGTAAGGGATCGCCATGTCATGATCTCCGCTGCAGAAATAAAATCAATCATATTTCTCTTAAGATCTCAGAATAAAATATATCCAACTAGGGTGATTTTTATCTCCACTTGTCGAATGTTAAGACCAAGTATCTATTTCATTGCTTTATTATTATTATTACTATTTTTACAATTTTCAATTATGAATCTTGAACTTTTCCTTTTCAACTTACCATCTAAATTTGACATTTGACTCTAAGTTTGACAATTCCGATTATGTGCGTCAACTAATTGATGACAATTAGATCCCAAATACTGAAATTAAAGCAATTTCAGTTTCAACTTACAAATCAACCAAAAGTTTTAGTTGCATTCTTGCAATAATCATGGAGCATTTGCGTCCTTGAATCGATGTCCATTAGTTATTGGAGTACAATTACTACATATTATCAAATATAGAGTCTCAATTAACATAATTGAAAGTTCCTAGCCCATATTATCAAAAATCGATAAGTTCATGGTGTACCAATGCAAACAAAAAACTCTTATTTATTTATTTTTTTTAATGAAAAGTTTAGTCAAACCTGTATATAAGAGCCCGATAGCCTCGTGAGTTAAGACGTTGATGATAGCTAACAACACTTTGCAGTTGAATCTTGTAAGGTAAGTTATTAGGACATCTTATCCACGTCTTTATTGTTCCCTGGTTCATCATTTTCATGAAATTACAGCTAAACTCATGATAATACTTCTATCAATCACTTCTCTTTGTCAATACTTAAAACAATTTCTCTTACTTTCCGAATATGCAGCGCCCTTTGAACGGCTTTTGTCATTTGCCCACAAGTGGGCCAACAGGTTCACATATCTCTTCAGAAAGAGTTGATCAATGATTAGTTACCAAAACATTTCTAGAAATTTTCTTAATGGAAAAATAGGATTAATTATTTTAGAGTTGAAGATCTGGTTTACCCGACACCCGAACTCAGGAAAAGTAGGTTGTGGTCCCCCAAAACTAAGGTGGCATTTAGTTTATGGATTCAAACCATGTGATTAGAATTATTTTTGATTTACGTGTATTTTTTATGAGAGAAAATACTGTAGCGAACCATGAACCATGATTCGAATCATAGAACGAATCTAGATACCAAACGGACTCTAAAGCTTGGTTGAAACCTTTTTGGGTCAGATGGCTGCTCCAGGAGGGATTTCCATTTGAAAAATTCCATCTTCCCATTTGCTAAAAATAATGATCCACACTTAGGCTCCAAGATTTTCAGTGCACTGCCGAACAAGGCAAAAACATCTAAGTGAGCCACAAATTAAAAAAAAAAAAAAAATCAACTAGATCATGAGAGGAAGATGTTCCTACGAGTGAGATAGCATTAAGATCAATGGCACAAGGTGTAGTATTGGTGTCGTCTTCTTTGTACTGTCCTTTGCAGTTCTTCTTCACTGACTGAGATATCAATCAAGCAACTATTTTAAAATTTGGTGAATTTCAAAATTCTACCCTGAACATATGCACATGTAAATTACACTTCACTGTAAATTTTAAAAGAATAATGCTAGAGATACCAACGCAATCTCAACTTTAATGTACCAACTGATATAGTATGAGAGTTATCTTTTTTTATCGTAGATGCAACTATTATCATTAATTGATATGGTAATGATTTAAATACCCACCAATATAAAATTGACATATAAGAGTATTAACAACTTACATACTACACCAGTTGGCATATAAGAGTTGTGAATTGAGTTGGTGTCTCTGGCATTTTTCATTTTAAAATATATATATTTTTCTTCTTCTCTCCATACTTTCTTAAAGTATTAAGTTTAAGGTTTTCGTGCAATTCCATCAAGATTTTAAATCCTCTAATCAATGGAGTATCTCAATAATGCCCCTGAACTTCAAATTTTATCGCTCTCACTCTTCGATATATAATTTTTGTATATATATGATATATAATTTTTGTCAATCTGTGACCAACTTTTGGACAATGAGTGAGATTGAAGTTTCTTCTCATATAACAAATACCTCTGACTTCTTGAAGCGTATTTGAGCAAAAATTTGATAATTTTTTTTGACCGAAATGTTTGTTAAGCTCTATTCTTGTAAAAGGTCCCATTATCTACCTATTAAAAAAATTACGTAAAAATATTTACCAAATTTGTGCTCAAATATGCCTTGTGGGAAAAGAATTCAGCCATCCACTTAAAAAACATAACTCGTCTCCATGTCTGCCTAAGATTTGGAGCAATAGAGATTAGAAGGATCAAGGAGGTGAGAATGATACACTTTGAAGTTTAAGGGCATAAGAAACCACAGTTTGGGAGGAATTGGACGGTAACGAAAAGCATGCTTTCCGAAAGTTTAAGGAGAGAGAATAACTCATTCTTAAGTTCGGCAGGTAAATTGTAACAAGTGCACAAGTTTAAAAGGAAAATTTAAAATTTGTCACTATAAGCTTTTTTGAAAAAAAAAAAAAAAAAAAAAACCATCTGTAATTTGTTGGTTATGGATTCAAATACAAACAAAATAAGCATTCTAACCTCATAGAGTTCGTCCGATATAATTGCCATACGACGAGCAAATTGAACCCTCGAATTCCAATTGATATCTCGATCCGCGTTTGGATTCCCGACCAGATAACCCTGCAAAGGAAGGTTTTTTCTACTCTAAATAACAAAAAATTCCTATCACAGTAATTGAGGGCTTGTTCTTTTAGTGAAAAATTCAGAAAAAAACAACTCGAGTTACAACTTTATATTCGAGTTCATGTTCTTTTAAGTCTAAACTCGAGTTTAAGTTTTCCCTTCAACTCGAGTTTAGAAACTCGAACTCAAATTAATGAACAGTATTTTTTCTATTATTAAAAATGTTATAACTTTTTCGTTTTAATTTTGATTGAGATGATTTTTTTTCTATGCGTTGACAACGAAAAGACGAATAAAACTCGACCCATATACTCTATTAAAATTTTTCATCAGCATTGAGTTTTTATTAAAATACTATCTAAATACAAATTCAAGTTTTGACTCACTCAAACACAAACTTAAAGAGATTCTTATCTCAAACCATAACTCAAATGTACACAACCAAATACAAACTCAAGTTACAAGTTCAACTCAAGTTATAACTCAAATTCAACTCAATAATTATATTCAAATTAAACTCTAAAAGAACAAGCCTGATATTTGTAAATAGAAACTTACTTGAAAATTAAATTCTG